AATACCAAAATATTTTCGGGTTCGGGTCGGGTTCGGATTTTTAACTCATATATACCCAAATCTAACCGAAATACCCGATTTCTCAAAAATACATTGGTTACTCTTTATCCAAATATAACCAAAAATATCTAAAAATGCTAAAATTACCCAAAAGAAAACTACATCATTAGTTACTTTTTAACCAAATATATCCAAATGTATCCGAATTACTCAAAAATACCTAATATATTCAGATTTATGATTGTAATTTTAGGTATTTCGGGTATTATAAATATAAATATAACTAATATTTTTAAGTGTATATTTGTATTCGGGTACATTCGGGTATTGGATTCGGTTCGGGTTCGGTTCGGGTTTTTTTCGGATAGGAGGTTAGGACCCATTCGGGTATTTTTAAAAATCGGGTTCGGGTTCGGTTCGGGTATTTTTCGGGTTTTTCGGTTCGGATATTCGGTTCCGGATATTTTGCCCAGGCCTACTTTTGAGGTTAAAACTGTCTTTTCTCTCTTTATTTCTGCATTGATTCCGTGACGTGGTCCACCAAGTCTCGCCTTTTTTTTTTTTTTTTTTGTTCAAAGTCTGATTTCCTTTTATCACGCACCGACCCAACTAAAAATCTCCTTTCGATTTTTTGGTTTGCGCCGGTTCGATTCGGATGCACCCAACCATTAACCGGAATTAAAACTTTTCCTCTTCCTAGACAAGTACGTAGACGACATATTCTTTTCTTACTTTGCCCAGCAAAAAGCTGGCGTGGCAGATGAAACTTAGAATAATTAGGATTTACACGTTTAAAGAAAAATATATTAATTTTTATTTTTATTTGGACACATGCAATTTAACCACATTTTATTTTCTTAGAGAGAAACCTAATGATATACTATATTCCTAATTACTAACACAACATCAATGATACGTAGCACCCACACGATAATATTTCTAACACACTAAGACCACCTCCATTGGTGAGGAGTTTTTTTTTTTTTTTTTTGGTGAGGAGTATTATGCAAAGACTTAGCTTAGGATCTTAGGTTAAAAATCAAAAAATCCTGTGAAACATTTATCCGAGAGAGTTTCACAGGATTCTTTTTCTCTTTTCTTTTTTATCAAACATTTCAAATTTGAATCCTAATATTGGCTCATTAACATAAACTATTGCGTTCTAAAATTTGTTTTCTTTTCAAAAAAAAAAGGGAGAAGTCCATTTGGTTTAATTTCTCAATAATCATATTCCATCTTGAAACTTTTACCCCATGAGAGTTCCTAGTAGCACTATTATAATAATTACTATTATAAAATAAACCTTACTAATACAGTAATAAAACTGACCTATACTCCTATACTATTATTTGAGGAGTACACTTTATAAGATACCCTTAACTAACCTTCACTTTTGTAAGAATTTACTTAAGAATGCCATTACAAAAATCTTATTTTAGAACAAATTTCATTCAATTTATTAAGGATAAACAAGTAAAATACTAATTTATGTCATTTAATTAATTTAATTAAATTATAAAACGAAAATCTGTTATTATTTTTTTTTTAAATGACCAATCAAAATGAACATATAAGATTTGATATCTAACTTACCATATTAATTTGTTATTAATCATTAAACTTCACCTCTCAACTTTATATGATTATATTAATATGAAACAAATAAATCATCATATCATCTACATAACAAAACAAAAAAAAAAGTAAACTTTTTTCTGCATATGCCAAGATTTAAATTTTTAAAAACGCATATAAATTGTTCAATCTATAAAGGAAACAATTAAACGGATCAAAAATTAAGACTTGAGTAATATATTTTTTTTACACAAAAATAAAGTCAACAAAAATTCCGACTGAGCAACGGGTCATAATTTGAATATTTATATTCGATTTCATACATTTATAGTCTTGAGAAGAAAGATGTTTTGTACGCCAATGAAGAGTTAAAAAGTTTAATGGCCAACATTTAAAAAAGTGTGAGCTGGAATTTTTTAGGAGAATATCATCCAATACCTAATTAGTTCGAGAAATTTAGAAATAGTGAATACTCCTAATTTGATGATGTTTAGAAGTAATTATTAATTAGTAACCGGGTTAAATATAATATATAATATGATGAAATGAGTTTGGATCCTTATAACTAAATGAATAGTTATATTGAATTTCATATAATTTGTTTTTTTAAATTATAATTTTATAAACTACAAAAAAAAATTAAAGATTTTAATTTGGAATATTTAAAAATAGTGTAGAACATTTAAATATGGTTTGACACCTCTAAATATTTAAAAACTTGATTCCGCAAGCAATTTTAGAATTAACGAATAATAGATTATGCACGCAATATTTTAAAATGAAATATTGAGATTCTAAAATAAAAATATAGACTCCACGCACGGATTGATTTGATATTATTATATACTAAATATATGTTTATAACATATTCGATTATGCGAATAATTGGTAAATTCCGTAATTATAAATCTCAAACAAATTCTGTAATTAGATTAGCTCAAACAAATCTTTATTTCAACAACCAAAGAATTATGAATTGAAAAAGAATTTTCTAAATTAATTCAAAATAATACTTAATTTTCTTAATTAATTCAAAATAATCTATGTTTTATATGCGATTTATTTATGATATTTTAATTTTTGATCTAACTGAAATATATGCAATCCTATTTTGTGGTAGTTAACATAAATTAACTCATTGTTCAAAAAATATTACTTTTTAAAAAATAAAATTATTTTCCGTTTTCATATCTTAAAAAAAAAATTATCCATAATTGAATATTATAGAAAAAAAAATCTATATTTATTCTAATATTGTATATAGGGACTGACAAAAAAATTAATATTTTTTCACTTACTATTATAATATATTAAAACTTAGTTCTAATATATATATTATATAAATTTTATAATAAATAAAATTCAACCCGTACTTTAGTACGGGTGATGATCTAGTTTCAATCATCACACTATAATGGTACCACGTTTTTTATTTCATTATAATAAAAATAAACTAAAAGCAATATGATTAATGTCTTTTTGGGTACTCTGTTTTTCAAATAAATTCCAAACAAATTTTTCATTGATGAATAACAATCGCAATGATTTCTACAACATTTTCATAGTGGCGGTTGCAGCGGCACAAGTAGCCTCCTTCTCAGAAGAGAGTTTCGCAATACATGAAATCATGGATCATCAGGTTTAAGAAGACAATCCTGAGACTGAGCACCTAAAACCTTGTGTAGAAAATAGAGGAAACGGTGCAACAATTCTGGGAATCTGTCCAAGAGGAAGAAAACTACACAGAGACCGAAGCAGAAGCAAAGGAAACAATGAAGAGGACAGAGCTACAACTCGGGAAGGGGTAGGAGATATATTATCAGCAGAAGCACCACGGATAGGCATGTTGCTATTGCAATAGTTGAAGCACAAGTAGTGAGGCATCCCCCTCACTGAGAGCCTAAGGAGGAGGAGGAGAATTTGGATTTGTGCAATGAGGTCCTCAAGCAAAAGTCTCAGTCTGTCTCGAGTAAGACAATAAAGTGGTGGTTCACTTAAGGCAACCAAGTCGAGATACTAAATGTGAGCAGATTTTGACTACCTAATCAAAGAGCTCTCAAATTGAGCTTACATGCATAATCATCCACAGAGAAACGAGGTCAAACTAGATAATGAATGATAATAGAGCATACATACTTAATCATCCACACACAA